AGCTAAATGAAACCAAAGGTTAGCTAAAAGCAGCAAAACATCGGCTAAAAGCTTAATGTAGCAAAAGGCTACCGAGAATTTAGAAGTGACTAGTTAGTAGCTAGAAGCTAAAAAAATCAAAAGTTTGACTAATAGCTGAAAGTAGCAGCATAGTAGTAAGAAGCTAAAAGTGTAAAAGGTTAGCCTAAAATAAAAGTAGCACATGGCTAGCTAAATGAAACCAAAGGTTAGCTAAAAGCAGCTAAAAGCTAAAAGTAGCAGAAGACAATATGACTCTCAGCTCCTACCACGCAGAGCGCTCACCTGAAAGTTGTCCAGGTTGACCCTGCAGTTCGTCACCATGCTGACGAAGTGATGAGCGTTCTGCTCGTCCAGCAGGATGTAGACGGCCACGCGCCTCGACGCCGCGCTCAGGATGTCCGCGAACATGTCCACGTCGGTGAACACGTCCATCGCCACCGCAACCACCTGAGGACAAAACACCAGTAACTCTCAGCTGAACTTTAGCTTTAAAATTAGCCGAATTAGACRTTTTGCTAACAGAGCAGAATGAACCTGCTGAGCGTTCTTGATGAGCCGCCGGGCCTGCTCCTTGATGCTCGGCATGTCCGGCTCAGGAGGGTTCACCAGAGTCGTGACCTCCGTGGGCTCCATGAAGGCGTGCACCTGAGGCCAGCCCAGGTCCAGACCCGGGACGTCCAGGTCCGAGTGGACGGGCCAGTAGGTGTCGGAGGAGCCGTCTCCCCCGCCGCCGTCCAGGAACATGGGCTGCTGCTCGGGGCGGCCGCTCGGCCTCGGGGCCTGCGCGCAGCTCTGGATGTACTGCAGCTCGGACGTGGACAGGAAGTCCACCACGTCCGCTTTCTGCAGGAACTCGTAGTACCCGTCCAGACCGCACTCCACCAGCGAGTCCACGGCCAGCCGGTACTCCTCCCGGTAGTGGGGGGGCAGGTAGTTTGGGTCCAGGGGGTTGTCCCCGGCCGACGAGCACTGGGAGCGACGAGCCATGCTGCACACTGACTGGAAACAAAAAAACAGGAAATAAATATTTTTATTTGTCTTATTATTTTAGCTACTGTTCTGCTGCTTTCAGGAAGCCTTTTCCTACTTTTAGCATTTAGCTAAATACGATTAAACTATTTAATGTTTCTGTTTTAAGTAAACATTTGTTAGTTTTAGCATGTAGCCTTTATTCTACTAGCCTGTTTCAATCTTTAGCTTTTAGCTAATATTTTACYATTAGCTTTAGTTAGTGTTGTGTTACTTTTAGATAATCATTTAAAGCTTTAGCTTCTAGCTAGYCTGTTTTTACTTTTAGCTACTGYTTTGATATTTTTAGCAAACTTATTAGTTCTTAGCTAAACTTTTACTGCTTYTAGCTAGATGTTTGATACTTTTAGTTAGAATTTTGTCAAACTTTGGTATTTTATAGCTTTTAGCTAACCTTTCTGCTACATTTAGCTTATCTTTTTAAACTTCTAGCAGTGTAAAACTCTTAGCTTTACAACCATTTTTTTTTGCTGTTTTAGGTTATACTTGTAGCTGCTGTTTTACTATTTTTAGCTAATCTTTAGCTAGGTTTGGGTCTATTTTTTACTAGTTTGAGTTTTAGCTACTTTATAGCTTTAACAACCTCATTAGGCACATTTCATCAAATGTTCGGCACATTTTAGCTACTGTTCAACATGTTGCAGCATTCGTTCAGCACATTTCTGCAGCTATCTGTTACTGATTTTAGTTTGTTTTTTCTAATTTTTACTAGTCTTTTGCTACTTTTAGTTTTAGCTAGCATTTTATCAGACGTCCAATACTTTTCAGCTGTCATTCAGCACATTTCAGCTGTCGTTCAGCACATTTCAGCTGTCGTTCAGCACATTTCAGCTGTCGTTCAGCTCATTTCAGCTGTCGTTCAGCACATTTCAGCTGTCGTTCAGCACATTTCAGCTGTCGTTCAGCACATTTCAGCTGTCGTTCAGCACATTTCAGCTGTCATTCAGCACATTTCAGCTGTCATTCAGCACATTTCAGCTGTCATTCAGCACATTTCAGCTGTCGTTCAGCTCATTTTAGCTGTCATTCAGCTCATTTTAGCTGTCATTCAGCTCATTTCAGCTGTCATTCAGCACACTTAACATCCTTTCGATACATTTCAACAGCTACATGTTACTACTTTCAGCTTGTTTTCCTACTTGAAGCTAGTCTTTTCTACGTTTAGTTTTAGCTGCCATCTCATTAGCCATTCAGCTCATTTCAGCTGTCGTTCAGCTCATTTCAGCTGCCACTCATCAGACTTTAGCTGTCATTCAGTTCACTGAATATCCACGTTTTTTTGAATCTGGGTTTTGAACAAAGCAAATCTTGTTTTTGTCATTATTTTCCGTATCAGCACCCAGTGGTTCTGGTTCTTCTGACACCGGATCCGTCAGAACAAACAGGGATCTGACCACAGTTCTGGTTCTGGGTGCGGCTCCTCCCTCTGGCCAAAAGTCTCCATTAAGTTCACGGTGAAAATAAAAACCTCCAGAATGCGACTAAACAAAACTTTTAAAACTGCGGAAGTGATTAAAACACAAATAAAAGCCATATTTTGTGTGTTTTTTCTCAGATTAATGACAACAGAAGAGTTTTTAAAATCCTGCAGCAGCTCAGCCTCGTGTTTATAACCTTTAAACATTTAGCAGTTTGTTTTTCTTATAAAATAAAAGAGTTTATTCGGTGAACTCACCGGACTTTCGGTGTTTTTTCCTCCTCAGACTCGGTTGAACTTTCCTCCCGTGTTGTTCTTCATGGCAGCGGCAGAGTCGAGCTCCATGTCCAGGTGGGACTTTTTGATTTTTTCTTTGGGTCTCATTTACCTTTCCTCCCCCTCCTCCTCTCCTCCAGTAGAACCAGTTTACTGTCACGCTTCAGGCATGTTCTACTTTCTGCGACAGAAACATACRACGGAGAGGAGAAACTACAGCCGACACTCGAGGCCCCGCCCCCAACCGAGCCGAACTTCGCTTTGTTCAGATTTTTCTCCGAGGAAGCGCCCCTCGATACAACAAGCGTTCTTCAAATCTGTCTTGCGCCATTACACCAACCATTACGGCCTGGGCAGATTTCAAAATAAAACACTTAAAACAACAAATAAAACAAATGAACAACAAATAAAATAGCAACGCCTGGAAACCACTGACTCATTTCAGTTTCTAGACTACACATTCCCGTGGTGACACTGGCCCAGCCCACAGCCTTTCAAAATAAAATGCACTCAACTAAATGTTAAAGGCTAGCTAGATGCTAAAAATAAAAGTAGCAACACTTGCTAAAACCTAAATGTAACAAAAGGCTGACTAAAAACTAAAAACTGAAAGTAGCAAAAGGAAAACTAAAAGTAGCAACTGGTCTCTATAAGTTAAAAGTAGTAAAAGGTTAGCTAAATCACTAGCTACATTTCAACCAAATCGTATAAAAAAGCAGTCAGAACATCTGCTAAAGTAGCAAAGGGATAGCTTTGAGCTAAAAGCAATAGAAAGTTAATGTTAGCTTAGCATGAATGTATGAAATCACTACTTCCCAAAAGTTAACTAAAAGTATCAAAAATACTCACTAAAAGCAGCAAAACTAGCAAGTGACAAATTGGTTAGTAGAAGCTAAAAGTAACAACCGGTTAACTAAAAGCTAAAAGTAGCAAAAGGGAAGCTAAAAGTAGAAACATGGTAATTCGAAGCTAAAATTAGTAAAAGGTTAGCGTTAGCTTGACATAAAAGTAGCAAATCAACCAAGAGTTAGCTAAAAGTAGCAAAATAGCTAGAATTTAAAAGTGACAAATTGGTAGCTAGAAGCTAAAAGTTGCAAAAGGCKAGCGAATAGTAAAAAAAAGGCTAGCTAGATGCTAAAAGTAACAGCTAAAAGATCAATGTAGCAAAAACTAGCTACAAGCTAAAGCCTGCAAAACAGGCCAAAAACAGAGATACTGTATGTCTTATGGTAAAAGTATTTGTAAATAAAGTTAAATATTTAAAAAATTTACAAAAACCAAAGCTCTTAGCACCAGTCTACTAAATGAGCTGAACGTTTTGATCCATGAACGGCTAATTTAACACAAAGCATGCAGAAGTATTTTGACTACAAAAAGATAAACAAACACTTCATCAGACCCACAGAAGCTTTTATAAACAACAAACAATCAGCAGCTTTTCAACAAARAGGCCAAAACCAACACTGTCCTCTCTGGTTAACCTCAGACTAGTTGACTAACGTCAACAAACAATAGAGGCTCTAAAGACGGATCATTATTTTAATCTGTTTRTGTTGCCGAACGTGCCTCTGAGTTACACAAACAAAAGAGTTCAGATCCCAGAGACTCCCTCTTCCAACACGGTGCCAAACCTCGTTCTTTATTCTCTGTGGTCCGTTAAAGACGAGCCCAGACTGCTCCACTGGACTGGATCTGAAGGTCTTTGTGGGTCACAGAGAGTCCTGGGAGACAGAAAGTCCACCAGCTTTCAGATCTGAGGTTTTTATGGATCAGAATGTACGGAATGATCCGGTTCTGATGTTAAAACACAAACGCTGAGTCAGCATTTTAAATACAACATTCCTGTTTTTATTATTTTCCAAAACGTAATTGTTTTTCTCTATAAATCTAGCTACTTCTGCAGACTTTTATCTGTTTTAGCTGTTAACGTATCAAAACATTCGGCTCATTTTATGTGGGCACTCTTTACCTATCATTCTGTTAGACTTTAGCTAGCATTCTGCTACTACATTTAGCTTATTTTAGCTTTTGGCTAGTGTATTGCTATTATTAGCATTTAGTTAGTAATATGCTACCTTTACCTTTTACCATTTTTCTATTTTAGCTAGMTTTGTGCTCTTTTTAACTAGCATTGTGCTACCTATGCTTCAGCATTGTGCTCATTTGGGCCTTTGTTTTTTCATTTAGCTAGTAATTTATCTTTACTTTTATTATATTATTGTTTGCTATTTATAATTAGCATTTTGCTAGTTTTACCTTTTTGATATTTTATTAGAATGTGTTCATGCTTATTTAGCTTATATTTAACATTTTATTATCTTTAGCATTTAGATATTTACTACTTTTAGTTAGCTTTTTACTTGCAATTTTTACAACTTTTGCAATGCATTTTGCCTATTTTAGCATTTAGCTAGTGTATTGCTAATTTTAGCATTTAGCTAGTGATGTGCTACCATTACATTTTAACTACAATTTTGTTACTTTTAGATAGCTTTTTGTTAGTTTTACCTTTTAGCTCTTTTGTGCTTCTGTTAGCATGTGTTTTGCTACCTTCATCATAGATAGTACTTTCATATTTTTAGATAGCATTTTGCTACTTTAAACTAGCATTTTGCTAGCTTTAGCTGGTGTACTGAAATAGTATGAACGTAGTGGTGCAGTGGTTGGAGCTGTTGCCKCTCACTGAACAGGTTGCAGGTGCTGTATGGACTTTACCTGTTCTGCCCGTGCAGCTGTGGGTTTTCTCCAAAAGCATGACGTCAGGTTTTTTTTGGTGCCTCGCTGTCCCGAGGTGCAGGTGAGAAGGTGAATGGTGTCTCCTGTGATGGACTGGAGACCTGTCCAGGTGTTCTCCACCCTCACACAGGGACTGATGGCGAAGGTGGGGGGGGGCGTGGACAGAAAATGGCGGGATGCACATTTGAAAAAAGTGGGGCGATTGCGATACCAAAGCAGCTCTCAGCTCTAAAATAGCTGCGTCAGCAAGAAATTTGCAGCGACGGAGCCAGAGGAAGTGAGGCAACGCTCAAGTGAGGACTTGAAGACAGTTTGTCATCGTTCCCCCGAGGCAACACCCAGGGCACACTGAGGGGAGGAGTGGGAAAATAAATATCAGTGTTGGCTCAGTTCACAGGTAGTTGTCACACAGCATACCGCCACACATTCACCGCTGCTCCTCTGTGACCCGTCGAATCAGAGCRCAGCTCCGGCTCTGTGACTGACAGCTCTGAACTTGGCCGTCAAACGAGCCGTGCACCCAGAGGCGAAGGTCAGGAGCAACTGACTGGATCTGGGTGGAAGTCGTGTCCAAGAAAAAGATCCAGAATTCCATTTCACTGACCCCCGACACTTCTCCTTTTCATGACTCAGCACTTTCTGATTCTCAGAGGAAGGTATCTACAGGATTAACCGCCGACATGTAGATTTGAACAAACAAACAAAAACAGAAGCCGAGATAAACGTCTGACAGTAAACATCGACGAGAGGTAGAAAGTTTTCATGACCCGGAGCTACAGCTGACCACAAAGTGCTTTAAAGCTTTAACTGAACGCTCGACTTTAATTGGTGGGCGAGGTTCGACTTGTGACGGCTGGCGTGATTTCAGGCACATTCTGTTCRTACCTGAAGCGAGGCTGGGTGTTTCCTTACTTACAGAGCTGATGAAGTGAAGACGTTGGCGATCCAAACCGTGAGCTATTAAAGCTGTAGTAGGTAATTAAACGAGCCCTGTGGCTTGGCGGCGTTTCATCATGTGTCCCAGTCATCAGCCCTGAGGGACGCAGTGTCTGAGTGTGCACACCCGGACCCACCTAGACTCACCTGGACCACCTGGAATGTGTCTCTGGCATTGGTACATCCTSGGTTTGGACAAGAAAATGCATCAAGTGTGAGACTTTTGAGTGAAAACCAACAGGAAGTTCAAACGACTTCCTGTTTTATGTAGAAAAGTCATAAAGAACAATAAATGTTTCATTCTTTCATTCGTGGTCAGATGTTTGGCCATGAAGGACATGATGATTATTGTCTTTTGATTCTGMTGAGTCAGCATTCAGGCTGTTGTTGCAAGGTTTCTTCTGTCTTTTAGGCTAGCTACTTTAGCTACCTTAGCTACAGCTTGTTCAGAAAATTAAGGCTGGAACTTGTGAACTTTGTGCATTTTATACATTTCAAAACGTTCTTCTTCACACCAACTTGCTTTACTTTTAGCTAATGTTTTGCTAAATTTATAATTTTGCTACTGTTTTGCTCATTTTTAGCTTTCAGCTACTATCCTAACGTGCTTTTAGTTCATGTTATTCTGGGTTTAGTTAATGTTTTGCTGGTTTAACCTTTTAGCTGCTGTTTTGATGGTTTTAGCTTTTAGTTAATGTTTTCCTGGTTTTAGCTGTTAGCTTGCAAATTTTGACTTTTAGCTAGTTTTGGCTACTGTTTTTTTTAATTTTAGCTTTAGTTTTTAGTTTTTAGTTTTTAGCCACTGCTCTGCTGGTTTTAGTTGCTGTTTTCCTGGTTTTAGCCGTTAGCTTGCGAATTTTGACTTCTAGCTAGTTTAGGCTTTTAAGCACTGTTTTGCTCATTTTAGCTGTTAGTGATTGTTCTAGTAGTTTTTGGGCTTCTGCTCTGCTGGTTTTAGCTACTAATTCGCTCATTGTAGCTTTCAGCTACTTTTTCGCTCATTTTCGCTTTTATCTTGGTTTAAGTTTTGCTGGTTTTAGCTTTTAGCTAGTAAATTATGTCTTTTAGCTAGTTTTGTTTATTGCTTTGCTTATTTTAGCTTTTGGCAACTGTTCTCATACTTTTGGTTTTTGGCTCCTGCTCTGCTGGGTTTAGATAAAGTTTTGTTGATGTTATCGTTTAGCTAGCATATTTTGACTTTTAGCTAGTTTTGGCTACTGTTTTGTTTATTTTAGCTTTAAGCTACCATTTTGCGTATTTCAACTTGTAGCAATTGTTCTGGTAGTTTTAGTTTTTAGCCGTTCTGTTGAGTTTAGCTAAAGTTTTGTTGATGTTATCGTTTAGCTAGCATATTTTGACTTTTAGCTAGTTTTGGCTACTGTTTTTTTTATTTCAGCTTTCAGCTACCATTTTGCGTATTTCAACTTGTGGTAAATGTTCTGGTAGTTTTAGTTTTTAGGCGTTATTCTGTTGAGTTTAGCTCAAGTTTTGTTGATTTTGTTGTTTAGCTAGCAAATTTTGACTTTTAGCTAGTTTTGGCTACTGTTTTGTTTATTTTAGCTTTAGTTTTTAGTTACTGCTCTGCTGGTTTTAGCTGCTGTTTTGCTGGTTTTAGCTGCTGTTTTTCTGGTTTTGACTTCTCCAAACAGACATCTTGTCATTTCGTTCAAACAGCTCGATCTTCGTCTCGTCACATTTTTCTTCAGAAGACATTTGTCCTGTCCTGACAGGTGTTGGACCTTCTGTCTCAGTCTATGATGGTGTGAAACTGTCCTCACCGGTGTACAGAGACTCTGGTGTAACAACAGGTTCCAGCTTTTTATGCTGGCTGAACCTTCCAGCTGCTGTCAATCATGATCACTAACAGGAARTTAAAAGTCTTTTTGTTTTGGTTTCTCTGGGTTTGATTTTAAAAGCASAAAGTAAAACTGTGGAACTTTAGCATCAGAAGCCTGAGTTGTACTTTATATTTAAAGCTCAGCGGACTGATAAAGGAACAAAGATAAAAATACTCTCACATGATGAACATGGCAACCTGTTGCCACAGCAGAGGTCAACACAACCTCTGCTGCTCACTTCCTCCTCGCAGTTTTAAAGTTGAAGAGCTGATTGTTGTTCAGCAGATGTTTGGAGTCTGTTGTCACGATGATAAGAAGAGAGAGTAGACTCTCTCAGGAGAAGGAAGAGTTTATAAAAACAAAGAGAACAGGAAGTTTGATTGTTGTGGGAAGGAGGCCAGAGGAAGACCTCCAGGAGGTGAGATCATCTTCATCCAAAGATGAGATGAAGAAGAAAACCGGAGTAAAATTAAAAAAAAAAAAAAAAAAACACATTTTCTGTGATTTTACTGAAAAACAAAAACCTGTTCAGGTAAAACAAGCAGACCAGTACCCCCGAGCTAAAATAAACAAAACAACAGCCAAAAGCTAAACGCAATAAAACACTAGTTCAATTTTTAATGTAGCAAAAACAAAAACAAAAAAGCTAAATTAGCAAAAGGCTATCAAAATCTAGCTAGAARCTAAAGTAGCATACAGCTAGCTAAAGTCTAAATAAAATCATAAAGCTGCCAAAGAGCTCAAAGTTGCAAAATGCTTTTAAAAAGGAAACATTTTCATTAATGAACAGCTAAAATTACCTGTAGTATGCTAAAGTAGTTTGATTTTAAATAACCTTTAGCTACCAGTATGCTACTTTGATAGTTTTTTTAGCCTTTGGGTACATTTGGGATTTAGCTTTATGCTACTTTTATTATTATAGCAAATGCTGCTTTTAGCTACTATTTTGCTACTTTTTGTATTTAGATACTGTTCGTCTACTGGTAGGATTTTGCTAGCCTTTTGCTACTTGTAGCCTTTAGCTACCATTTTGATACCTGTAGTATTTTTCTAGTCACCTTTAGCTATTGTTCTACTTTTAGCATTTTGCTACTGTTCTGCTGGTAGGTTTTTCTTAAGATTTTGCTAGTTTTATCTATGAGTTTTCTACTGTTGAAGCCTTTTCAAACAATTAGCTTTTTGTTAGCATTTTACAACTTTTAGCTACCATTCTACAACTTTTAGGTTTTTAATACTGCTGTGTCCTTTTGCTACTTAGAGCTAACATTTTGCTGCTTTTAGCTTGTTTTGCTTTTAATTGTTTTCTTGATATTTTGCTATGTTTAGCTTCTAGCTATATTGTTACATTTAGCTTTTAGCTAGACTTTTTTAAATATTAGCTTTTTGTTAGCATTTTACAACTTTTAGGTTTTTAATACTGCTGTGTGCTAGCCTTTTGCTACTTAGAGCCAACATTGTGCTACTTTTAGCTTGTTTTGCCTTTTTTAATTTTTTTCTTGATGTTTTGCTACGTTTAGCTTCTAGCTATATTGTTGCATTTAGGTTTTAAATAGGCTTTTTTAAATATTAGCTTTTAGTTAGGCTGTTGCTATCTTTAACCTGTAGCAATAATTCTGATTCTTCTAGGTTTTTGTCTAACTTTTTCCAATTTTTACTAGCCTTTTGCTATTTATAGCTAATGTTTAGCAGCTTTTAGCTACTGTTTTGTTCTCTTTAGCATTTGTTGTATTTTTTAAACAGCTGAGTTTTAGCTTCTTCAGCAGACTTGTAGTTTCACAGAAAATGTAATTCCTCTGGATTTAATWGCCCTCACCTGAGATTACGCGGCAGGTAGCCAAAGGAGTGGCAGCTGGTGGAAACATTTATAACCAATCAAGCGGCTGTAAAATGTAACGAGAGCTGAAGCAGCTAAAGGAGAACAAAGGCCCAGCTCACACTGCTGAGTGTCAAAGTCCTGCAGTACGTTTACAAAGACAGGATAGCAATTAGCTTTCAGCTATGATGTCATAATMGCCATATGACACAGAGCGGTGATGGTACTTTACATTTCTACAGGTCCCTGGTTTCCAGCTCTATTGTACTGGTTCCTGTGGAACGTCCTGCCTACACGTCCTCCTGAAGACGCATCGTTTCCTGCCGGAGAACGACGGCGGCCTTTTCCTTGAAGGGAGACGCAGGATAACCTGATCAGAACATCTGGATTCGGTTCTTTGTGTTGCTGATCCTGGGTGAACTCAGAGGTCGGGCCTCACCTGCAGCAGGAGGAATGAAAACGACGAACAGTTTCAATGTTTACCTTTTGTTTCTCGGTGCCAAGTCGACTTCCTGTCATATTTCCACTGACCTTTCTGGTTGTGCTGCTTTCTTTTTGAGGCCATTGTTTGCGTCTGCCGGTGGTTTGTTGCTTTAGACGTTGTGCTGGCAAAGGCTCAAAAAGAGAGGAGCTGCTGAGCTTATCTGTGCCAACATCTGGTTTAAACTTCATTTAATAAAAATGTGGTTTTGTTTATGCAGTAAAACAAAGGATCAGAATTTATTTTTAATCACATGGTTTAATGAGCTGAATGAGGAAAATATATATTGTCTCCTCCATCTTCTATTTATTTAATAAAGTTCTTGAATGCAAGTCAATTTGAATTATTTATGGTAACAACAGTGGAGGGCATTGTTCTGCTAATCAATTTAGCGGATTAGCTTTTTTTTAATTAACCAGTTGTACATGTTCAGTTTCATTGTTCAGGCTTGTGCAATGACAATAAAAACTAATCTATTCTAGTGTTTCCTAATGTYGGTTGGCTTCTTGTTTTTTAAGTTATTACCTGAATCTAAATTTTTTTATGAAGCATTTTTTGTGCTATAAAAAAAACTACCAAAATCAAAAAGAAATAACTTGTATAGGTCTTCTGGACGGGTTCTTCTCTAATGAAACGTTTCGTCTCTCCTCCAAGAGACTTCTTCAGTCTGAGAGTTTCAGGCTAAATTCAGGCTTTTAAGCCCTGCCTCCATGTGACTGATACTCACATCACATGGCTATCGTTGACACCTAATTAACACTTATTGTTAACAGGGGGTGGAGTGATACTGGCAATAGCAGCRCTGTAGGAGGGGGACAACTGAAAACGGAGGCCTCCACCTCTGTTTAATGATGGACGGTCTTTCTTTACAAAAATGTCTTCTTTTACTCSTCTCTCAAACCAACGTTCCTCTCTATCAAGAATGAGAACATCCTCATCTCTGAAAGAGTGACTGCTGGCCTGTAAATGAGTGAAAACTGCAGAGTTCTGGCCATTAGATGTAGCTCGTCTGTGTTGGGACATTCTTTTGAACAGTGGCTGCTTTGTTTCCCCGATGTATAACTGGTCGCAGTCCTCCTGGCACTTAACAGCATATACAACATTGCTCTGTTTGTGCCGGGGCACCGGATCTTTGGGGTGAACCAGTCTTTGCCGTAATGTGTTTTGGGGTTTGAAAGCCTGTCGTAATAGATATATAAACACGAACAGTAACTTCTGTAGTGGAATCAACTGAACATTTGTTTATTTTTTAATGATTTTGGAAGGAAGTAAACATTGGTTAAGCTCCAAGTCTCTCAAAATAAGTCCTTTTTCCTGGAAAGATATTAAATATGGGATAGCAATAAACATAAAAAAACTGAATATTTGACAAATAATACCATATTGTTTGCTAAATTCTATTTTCACAAAATCTCTTCCAAATGAGAAATCATTAAAAAACGAGTTTGCATTATTTTGTGAATCTTTAAACAAAATTAACACAGCCCCTGCAACCAAACTGTTCTCATTTATTAACCCATGTTTATTTCATTGTTATTGTTTTGTTGTTTTTATCTATTTTCCCTTCGTTTAAATATTTGTTGTATTTTTTGTACTTACTTTTACTAAATATTTTTAAATCAGTTGATTTACTTGGTTAATATTCATGGTAATTTCGTGAAGTTTTCATGATTTTCACGTTAAGGAGGAATTATTTAGAATAGATAATTTAGAAAGATGTGTAAATGTGAAATGGCATACATATGTATGCTTATTTTTGTTTTTTGTACTGTCATATTGGTTTAAATAAATAAATAAATAAACAAACTTCCGTAGCGCTATGGCGCAATGTTTTATAAAAAATACCAACGAAGAAGACTCTCAGCCAATCACAGGTTTACGTGAGAAAGACCCCGCCCCCCTGCTTTCTGACGCTGGCCCGCTCTTCATCTAAGATCGTTTATTAAAAAGATGCCTTACTCTGTCGTAAAACTCACTTTTCACTGAAAATAATATACTTTTCATTAACTTCTTGTTGGTCAAAATAATTAAAAATAAAGTCTGTTTGATATAAAAAAGGAATTTTTATGGAAATAGAGCTGTTAATCTCTTCTTTTAAAAGACAGCTGGACCTTTTGATGTGTAATRTTTTTGAGTCGGAGTGAGACATCGTCTTTGTTGTTTTTCCGCCTCTTCACGCGGCTCCTGCTGAAGTTGATTCCGCTAAAATTTAAGCTCATTTTAGACCTTCGAGTCACAGTTTGGTTGTTGTTGTTGTTGTTTTTGTTGTGTTTTTGTCTTCGCAGCCACACGGTTCAGGGTAAAGTCCTTTAAATAACCCGTCTGCAGCTCTGCTGTCATCATGGCGGGGGTTATCCGGAGGCTGGACGAGACCGTCGTCAACCGAATCGCAGCGGGAGAAGTGATCCAGCGTCCGGCCAACGCCGTCAAAGAGATGATCGAGAACTGGTTCGAAGCTAATAATTAGCCTTTGTGTTTATGCTAGGCTTTCATATTTAAAACATCCAGCGAGCTGAAACTCTTTGTCCCTTACCTGCTGCGTAACAAGTTTTCTTTAAATTGAACTATTTCAGTTTGGATGCGAAGTCCACGAACATCCAGGTGACCGTGAAGGACGGAGGACTGAAGCTCCTTCAGATTCAGGACAACGGGACCGGCATTAGGGTGAGTGGGTCCACATGGGACCAGGGCCCGGCCCTGTACGTTTAGGAGAGTCTGTGTGGACTGCGACTGTTTGGGGAAAAGATTGCGAGAAAACAGRTGAATCTAATTTTCTAGTGCGCATGCGCATTAAACAGCTCAAAAAAGCAGATTTATAGCTTAAATATTTATGAAAAGTCACATTTATGATCTAGGTGGAGACAGTCGGACGCTCCCTTCAGCTCACTGTCATATATTTTACTCATTCTTCTTCCWCGGAGACTTAGAGAAACTTTAAAGGGCGTGTAACATCATATTTTTTAAATAAACTTGAATGCGTTTTTGGAAAGATAACATTGATAAAATACTGCAAAACAAATTTCACGTCGCTCAGATGAACGGTTGTTGAGATATTGGCATGTGAAGAAACAGGAAGTGATGTCAGCATGTAAACAGAGCGTTGWCACAAAAGCTAACTACAGACCGTAGGGAAGAATCTGATGTTTCTTTAGATTATTTTTAGTCGTTATCAAAGAGATGAAGAAAAGTTAAAGTTTAAATAAGTTTGTTTTAATAAACAGAGACCAGAGATAATTTTATTAATGAGTTCCCCTTTGATGTCACTTCCTGTTTCACTTTGGCTGAGCCAAATTTAAAAGAAAATAGGCCAGTCATGTGACAAAATGGGTAAAATCGTGTATTATGTCAATTTTCTTAGATGTTTTCTTTGACCTTTTGTATTTGAAGTGTAGGCATGTCACAGGAAYTTTAATTTTAAATGATCATTTTTTAAACCAGACTGAGTTTTYGTCCTTCTGGTCCAGAAAGAAGACATGGAAATCGTCTGTGAACGGTTCACCACCAGCAAACTCCAAACCTTCGAGGATCTCTCCGCGATCGCAACCTACGGATTCCGAGGAGAGGTGAGCGCCGCCGCAGACCCCTCCCCCCCACCATCTGTCCTGGTGGTACTCCGTGCGTCACCGCTCTGCTCTGACCCTTTAGGCTCTGGCCAGCATCAGCCACGTGGCTCACGTCACCATCACAACAAAGACGGCAGACGCCAAGTGTGCGTTCAGGTGTGTGTGTGTCTACCCTCTCTGGCCTCAGTAAAACTCGTATCGATGCGTTGACGGTCCTCTTGTGTTTCTGCAGAGCCAGCTATAGCGACGGCAAACTCAAAGCTCCGCCCAAACCGTGCGCCGGCAACCAGGGGACGCAGATTCTCGTGAGTTTGCGAGATCACCCTGAAAACGCGGCGACGTTCAGAGATGACGGCGATTTTTTTTTTTCTCCCTGCAGGTGGAGGACCTGTTCTACAACGTGTCCACCAGGAGGAAGGCCCTGAAGAGCCCCGCTGACGAGTACTCCCGGATCGTGGAAGTCGTCAGCAGGTTTTTATCTTCGCTCGTCTCTTTTAGTCTCACAGCTCCAACAGGTTTGTGTGAATAATGTTGTTTTTTTTTGAAAAGGTACGCCATACACAACTCAGGGAAGAGCTTCTCCGTCAAGAAGGTGAGACGTGTTTTTGGCGGGAAAGGACGAACATAGAAGATAAATAAAAACCCGTTTCTTGTTTTATTGTTTCCAGCAGGGAGAGACGGTGGCCGACGTCAGGACGCTGCCCAACGCCTCGGTGGTGGACAACATCCGGAGCGTGTTCGGGAACGCCGTCAGCAGGTAGCTGTGCTGCGATGACGTCGCGCTTCCTGTCGTCTCGCTGCCTGACCCGGTATGTGTGTGTGTGTGTGTGTGGTCAGGGAGCTGATCGAGGTCAGCTGTGAGGACAAGAAGCTCGCCTTCAAGATGAAAGGCTACGTCTCAAACGCAAACTACTTCATGAAGAAATGTGTCCTGGTTCTGTTCATCAACCGTACGTTAAAAGAACCTGATTAGTCTGATGGTGGCCCCGCCCCCGGCTCTGTGTTCAGTCAGATCTGTGTCGCCTCAGATCGTCTGGTGGAGTCCAGTGCGCTGAAGAAGGTGCTGGAGACGGTTTACGCTGCCTACCTTCCCAAGAACACGCACCCCTTCCTCTACCTCAGGTAACAACCTCTGGTAACTCAGGTAATCACCTCAGTTAACTCAGGTAACAACCTCAGGCAACTACCTCAGGTAACCACCTCAGGCAACTACCTCAGGTAACTGAGGTAGTTGCCTGAGTTGATTACCTCAGGTAACTGAGGTAATCAACTCAGGTAACTACCTCAGGTAACTGAGGTAATCAACTCAGGTAACTCAGGTAATCACCTCAGGTAACTCAGGTAACAACCTCAGGCAACTCAGGTAACTACCTCAGGTAACTCAGGTAACAACCTCAGGCAACTCAGGTAACTACCTCAGGTAACTCAGGTAACAACCTCAGG